ACACACACACACACACACACACACACACACACACACACACACAGAGGAAACCTTCTGCCCTTATCTCCCCTCTGTCTAAAAAATCAGTTCACTCGTCTCCCCCCGTCTCTCCCTTCCAGCTCCTTCTCCCTCTTGACCTTCATCATCTCCCTCTCCTCCTCTTCCTCCCCGTCTGTCAGCCTCAGCCTGTCCAAATTTATTTTCACTCTTGGATCAATATATGACGTGGCATAATAAATGAGCTCCAGCCAGAACTAAATAATACATTCAGTTGTCTTGGAGGCTTTTTGTGTTGCGGAGGAACAACGGGCTGAAACAGGAGCTCGCCAACTGTTAGGATTCTCTCACGGCCAGCGTGCCTCCCTCGCTGTAGCTGACTGTGACCGCTCCGTGACATCATTTCATAACAGGAGCTTGAATTTAAATCTACTTACTTTTACCTGAAACTGGTCACACTAAAGCTCAATCGATGCGTCAGCAAGGCAAAGTCTTCAGCCTTTTTAGCTTTTTATTCATCGGTATCGACAAAATAGTAAGCAGCATGTATTAAGCATCGATCTTTAACGTGGCGATCTCAAAGATTTCAGTCCCGGTTGATGTGGTGATACCTGAATTTACTGGAGGTAAACATAGACTCTATATAAAGATGGACGACATCACAGAGGTCATAAAAGCTGCCTCCTGCAAGTCAATGAATGGGACATAAAAAGCCAAACTAAAAAGTCAAAGTGCACATTGTCCATATATTGTCTATAGTTGTGTCTCAATTCAGGGGACGCATCCTTCCAAGTCTGCATTTGTAGATAGATGGATTCACAGCGGCAGGACTAGATTTTGAAGGCTTCTACAAATTCGGCCAACAATTTGTGTCCTTTCTGGCCCAACATATCCCAGGATTCATTGCACTTCAGTGACCCAACTGTTTTTCAAAGAGGTGATGGCTGTGACAAGCGACAAGACGTCCAATTATCACAATGCAACCGAAAAGCTAAAGGTACAAAAGGGAAATTAAAACTCTAACTGCAGATCTGTTGCTAGGCAACAGTAATAAGGGCAGGATGAGATGGTGACGCCCATCACGGAAAGCCTCTGTTTTCCAGACCATCTCATTTTGTTATGAACTTTGACATCATCCTCATAAGAGGGCGGCCCCCCTGAATTTTCACATCGCATACGTTCGTAAAATTATATTGTGGTTTAATGCAGGTCACGAAATTCTGGGTTCAGCAAAACAACCACAAAATTATTATTGTTTTGATTTTTTTTAAAAGTAGAAGGCAACATTTGACCTTTTTCCGTTCCTCTTATGAGAAACTGTGATCTGATTTTATGCTGCACACGACACAAGTTTGCAAACAGCAGGCACAGGGACAGGAGATGGTTCCCTCGCTGAGAAGTTGGAGCTGTGCAGCCTTTCACCTGCAGCTCTTAATCTAACGCCTGTTCCACTGCTGCCCTGCACAATAATAAGGGAGCTGATGAAAACATGCAGAAAATCTAAAAAGATAAAGAACAGAAACATGTGCTGAAAGTCAACTTGTGCCATTTAAGGGTTTTAATGTGAAGGAAATGTGCCACATTTTTAAAATAGTAGACTTTGTGGCTCAATCATTTTTGTGTTCGCTCACTCTGCAATATATTCGATTAATTGAAATGAAAATCTTTGCTACTGCAGAAATTCTGCACCCGTAACTTTACTGCTTTGGTTCACTCCCATACATTTGATTTCTGCTGCAGCCGGCAGCTGTTTTCAGAGAAGAAAAGCTGCGTAGACCCATTGAACACTTTCTGCTCAGCACCAGACAGCAGACAGGCCCAGTCCGAGACCAGCTGGTGAAACACAGTGAAAAATTTAGCAGCTACAGATTTTCCTCAAGAGCAGGTGGAGACCAAACACGGAGCTTAAAGGAGAGCGAATATTGGCTGAAAAAAAACTGCTCATTAAATGTTAACGTCTCTGCTGAACGTGTGAACAGTGTTCACTGAAATGTATCAGGTGATCATGTCACTGTTACTTTTAAGATTATAAATATGAAATTAAACCTTTTGATAGATTTGAATGCAAACATATCAAATGTTTTCTGTCATTGTACATCATTTTTATTTTACACTTTGTGACTGATTTCATCGTTTTCATTATGAAGCAGAGATCAGTAACAGGGTGGAGGCAGCACTTACTGTTGCCAGTTCATCAAACTTCCCAAAGAGTTCGTTGAGCAGTTTGACGAGTTCCTGAGCTGTGCACTGAGAGGCCAGGCTGGTGAAGCCCACGATGTCTGCAAACAGGATACTGCACAAAAGGGAAGGGAAAACAGATTTTAATCAAAAGTGAAGAACTCAGCTCATTGTGACAAATTATTTTGGTTTTTCTCTGTTCCTCTACAGGAAGTACACACTTAGGCCCAATCACATTTCACCCCATGGCCCATTATTTCATGCATGCATCAAAACTACACAGCTTCAGTTTTCTAACAGGGGTCTGTATGCAGCGCTGCCAGGATGCTTTGTTATTAGAGGAGCAGTTTGGTTCAGTAACATCGCTGCTATATGCTGTCAAGTGCCTCGCGTCTCTTCGAAGAGGGGGGGGTGTGATATGAAATGAGAGAATCTAACGTGCAAAAAAAAAAGATCGCTAGCATGCTAACATTAAGGCACTCGCACTCTTTTTTTGGTAAAAAACTACAATAATATTGTAATGATATTAAAATAAGTTTCGAGGGCTATAAAGCCCTAACCCTATATGTGAACGCCCAAAAACGAAGGGGTGGGGTCAAGGGGTGAGATGGGATTGGGCCTAGATCTATGGAAACATACAGTGTATTGCAACTGCCCTGGCACAAAGCACCCACAGGTAAACCTGCTAATGACGATCAGATGTGAAGTGAGCAGCGAGTATCATAATCCCTGATATATTAAAGTGTCTTTCAGAGCCACCGCTAAATCAATTAAAGAGCTAAATTGCCTGCTGCTGGCTAGCTGCTGCCGCAAGGTTGAGGGAGTTGTTGAAAGCTACTTAGCCCCTCGTTCATTTGCTCCGAGTTAGGCCAGATAGCAGCAAAACAAGCTGTTACGGATCTTATTGAGTCTCAGCCGCCCCCCCAACCCAAAAAATTACTCTTCCCTGTGAAGTAAAGACATCCGAGCTCTGAGGTTGAGAGGAAAGCTGGGTCATATCTGAAATTCTTCGACTGACTCCCATATCTGAAGGATGACGACTGTTACAATGACTGACAAACACTTACACAAATAAAACCCTCACTAAAGGCCCACTCTAGCTTTCCCTCTCTCGTCAAATGTTTTCTAAACAAGTTTTTTTAAATTATCACAAATGACGCCTTCGGTGCAAGATGGCGGCGCCTGTATCTGCAATTTTTGGGCTTGGGCAGTGGGAGGAAGTGGAGAAGCGACCTCCATCTTAATTTATAGAATTTACAGACTATCTTTATTGTCCAAATAATCTCCTTTCCTAACCACTAATCCTTGGAATACGTCATAAAATCAAGAAAAGATTTGAAGGAAAAGCCGTAAGGGGTTAGCAGCAGCAGCCGTAGACTTTATACGTGTCAATAAATAATCACAATTTTTGCTCTAAATCCATAACAGTTAGTAAACAAGATCACTGTGACCAGACATTCATGTCCTGCTTTCAGTGCTCGATAGTTTAGTCTTAAGTTTTGATCGTAGTTGCATGAGGAGGCCCTTCCTCCGCATCGTGACTGAGTTGTTGTTCCTTTTTTTGGCAGCGCAGCATAGTTGCTCCGGAGTCTGATGTATGCAAAGCTGGGATCACGACTGCTGTTCGACAGAGGAGCTCTGTTGTGTGATTTGTCTTTGAACGCTGCCGTGCTGCGGGTTTGCGGCGGGTGAGGAGGAGAAGGCAGAGGGGGCGACAGGGGAGGGAGGAGGAGAGGAGAACGGCGCTGGGTGCACGATCAAACGTTCATGGGGCCACATCAAACGGGGGCAGATCAGGGAGATGTCACGCCCCTGCTCAGCAACAAAAACTCATGTTTGTTTTTCTCACCATGTGTTTTAGTGCGCATGTGTGCGTTTGTAGCATGTGTGTGTTTGTAGCTGCAGCTCCCTGGAGAGGAGCAGGAGCTGCTTTACTGGCACACACAGCAGCAGTAGAAGTGGCGGCATGATGTCGGGCCGAACGCCAGCGCAGCAGAGAGGCTGGGGGACGGGAGGTGATGTTCCCGAGCCGTGGGTGAGAGTGTCTCAGACAGACAGAGAGACACGGAGTGGAGAGGATTGTCTCTTGACAGTAGTGCTGTTGACATGCTACCTCCACTCCCACACAGCTCTCTGCTTCTCTTTACTGCCTCGTCCGGATGTAATCAGCTCAGAGTCGGGCCAGGTTCTCACGCTCTCTAATGTTTCCTCTACTACAAGTGCAACAGAGGCGGCTGCTGATTGGGCTGATAAAAATAACTGAGAGGAAACATTGTTTTTATCACTGATTAGTTATTTGTTCAATTGTTTATTGAATAATATATATGAGATTTTTTAGATTTTCAATTTATAACAATGGAAAATGGAAAATCTGATGCAAAATAATTGAAAAGCTGTTTTTACGTGAATGGACTAATACAAGTAGGACAGCAAATGATAATTGTTTTCACTATCAGTCTGTTGATTACTTAATAATTCCCTTGTGTTTTCAACCCTGTCCGTTTGTTTATTTATCACAGATTTTCATTAAGCCCCATGAGACAAACTGTGATTTGTGAATATGGGCTAAACAAATAGAATTTGACACTTTATGGGTCAAAGAAGAGCTCATATGATTTTTGCACAGATCTGAATCTGAGGGCGTTTTTTTGTTTTTTTAACTGATTTCCCGGTGAATAATTATTTGTTCAGGGGCCGATATCTGTATGTCAACAGATTGAATTTAAAAGACTGTTGGGCCTGGTTGGAGGTTTTTAACTCCACTGAGTGACATTCTAGCTAATTATCTCCTCCAATTAAGGAGCTAATGTTTTCATTGTTGTCTGTTATGCAAAACCGCTGAAGCGATTTTCTTCCAATGGGTGGAAGAGTGGGGCCGAAGAAGGAACTCATTGATTTTTAGAGTGGATTCGATTCAGGGGGCGGATCAAGGAGATTTATTTTTTCTTTCTTTAACATTGTGACGTTTTTGACATTTTTGTGAATTTCTCAAGAAACAATGCCGACATATTAATGAAATAAATGAGTCAAACAGACCGATAACTATGAAGAGGTGAAATATGCTGTAGATTCGGATAATGATCTGTGCGTGGTGGTAAAGTGGCCAATCCCCCTCAGTGGACGTACGAGCACATCAAGTGTTCTTCTAGTCTGTTTGTTCTTATTTATCAAAAAATTAATTAGAAGATATACTTCAAATATCTGGAAGTCATTTCACAGAAAACAGCCACAAGTGGCTGGAACATCAAGTGTTTGACACCAGATCAATAACTCACACAATTAGCTTCTTTCAAAATATTGATCAATCAATCGTCACAGCAGCACAAGCGTCACCATTCGTACTTGTTCACTCTAATGATCTTCATATTATTGACACTAGTTGTAGATAAATGATTAAGAGACACATTTAAAAAAAGGCACCAGCGACAAACCTTAAATTTCACTTAACTCAGAAGATTATAAGTGTGTCACAAAGATTTTTCTGAACACCGACTTAGATATTAAATTAATCTGAGCTATTATTTCTGTAGTATTAAATCTCAGGTTTCTCCACAGTGTAATATTGCAACATCATATATATGGTCGACAGTCATTTAAACAATCTGCCAAATTTGCAAAAGCTGCAAAATGACGTTTCAGTTTCACCATCTGGAGTCAGATGATGACGTTACAGATGTTAAACCCTGAAACTGCTTCTTCTCTCTATTGCTTTAACTTTTAGACGTAAGTAAATGCTGGTGAAAAGATGGCAGGACCAAAACTATTGTGCCAGTGTCACCAGGTCACTTCATACACTTACAGAAGTTATTCCACTTTGTAAATGAGCTGTGGAGCATTATTACATAATCAACTCAAATCACAGTGACTGTTTTGTTTTACGTTCCAATGCGAAAACATCAACAGCACCACAAACGATAGAAGAAGCGGAGGAGATGACCTTTTTTTAATCTACCGGTTGTAGCAACAGAGCCTCGTCCCTTTTCTGTTTCTAACCTTTACGTACTTTGATCGTGGCGTTAATGGATAATCTTAATTGCTCTTCTTCTATTCTTGACCTTGACGTCACAGCAGGCGACACCTGGATCAAAACACTCTGCACCGCCCCCCCCCCGCACGCCGCTGCGGTCCACAGTTGTCATGACACCCCCATACCTGACATTGTCATGACGTTGGATGTAGATCTTGTGAAAGATCCTCTCAGGCGGCTTCAGGAAGTCCTCCTTCATCTCCATGGCAACATTCCTGGGCAGTAGACTCATTAGCAGACGCTCCTGAGGAGGAGGAGGAAGAGGAGGATGAAGAGGGGGTTAAAACAGAGGTGACAGCAGAGTGTATATTGAGAGGACGTAAATACTGTGTGATTGTATTAATGGAGGTATAAGGAATTGGTTTTATGTTTTCATGCAAACACAAGTTTGTTTTTTTATTCAGTTTCATGTGAATCAGAAAACAACACGCCCACTCGCTTGGTGTAAATATTTCTGCTGTATTCTCACTCTGACATTTTCTGGACATTTCACTTGGGGGGGAAAATTCGGACATTTGTGTTGGCACCTACAGCCCCCCCTTTAGCTCTTTTTCTTTGATGCTCTTTTGAATTCTTCCCAAATTCTTCCCTCGGCCAAGAAGGTTATATTCTCACATCTGTCCATTTGTCCGTTTGTTTGTCAGCAAGATTACGACGTACCTGATTTCCATGAAAGTTGGTGGAAGGATGGGATGTGCACCAAGAACAGGCTCAGAGAAAAGCCTCGGAGAATAATTGATGGATCTTGATGAAAAAGATCAGGCATGTTTAGGGGACTGATGTCTATGAGAGTGTTTAATTTGGTCCAGATAAAAAAAAAAGATGTGGTTTTAATGATTTTAAACGTGGTCTCATGAGGGGACTGTAGGGTCTTGGTGGAATCTACTGATTCACCTGCAAAATTCCTCCAATAACTCACAGGGACACTGGGCTGAAAACTGACTTATTAAATCAATAACTTATCAAACATTTCAGTCAAATAATTTTCTGTCAAGTAAATCAGTCAACTTTCAGCACGAGCCTAAAGTGTCGTAAACTCTGCATAAACTTCTCTTTAAACTCCAGTGCTATGATATTTGTGAATGCACAGTGAATCATCGGGCATCTCTGCTGAATAACCACAGAGAGACACTTATAAAAGCTGCTGGGACTCTCCTGCGTCTGTTTTCACATAATTTCATCCATTCACACAACTGCTGTTCTCATCTGCCAATGAAAAGCTGGAGAGCAGCACAAGTACTGATGGAGGGGTGTGTGCTTGCGTGTGTGTTTACATGAGCTTGTGTTTCTCACATTTGTGTTGGGGGAGGAAATGATGATAAACCACAGTGTGAAGATGTGGTGGTTTAAGTTTGTGTTTAGTTAATTCTTCCCTCGTGTGATATAATGATTCCTGTTTCCCTGCTCTGTTCACTCAGAGCAGTGTTTGACTGTGAAGCTTCTCATGGTGGTTTATTAATGAACCAATGGCTCATATCTCTCACATCAGCAGCACATTCACATCCTGCAGTTTAACAAGAGGGAGAAACTCACACCATACCTCTGCATCTTTGACATGAACAATTTGAAACTGAAGGGAAAAGGAACAGACAGGGGAGGAAACTCTTTCTCTTTCCTTCAAACTTATTCTTGTATGAAAAGAACAATAACACAACCAAAGTTAAAGGGGGCATAATGGTTTTCCAGCATTTTTTTGTCTAGTGTGTTATGTAGGACTATTGAGAATTTAAAAGCTCAGCAAAGTTAAAACGCCCGAGATAAGAGAGCGCCACTCCCCCACAGAAAATGTGGAATCACGATGGTCCACATTTACAAACATCTAGTTCCACTCAGACGTTCAGGGTGAGTGGGAATGAAAGAGGAAACATTCTCACACTCACTGAACCATCACTGAACTTAAGGTGAAAGAGTTAAATGTTGTTGCTTTGAGAAAACTTGAAAAATAAGCTGAAAGGGTTTGTGAATAAAGTAATAACAGCTGCTCTGCGGATGAAGACTGTGTGATGGGGGTTCTTTGACACCTTTCATCCATCCATCCATTAAACAGTTTATACTTGTAGGGTCACAAGGGGGGCTGGAGTTAATCTCAGCTGATATTGGATGAGAGGTGGTGCAGACCCTGGACAGGTCTCCAGTGTATCACAGGGACAACATATGGACACAAACAAAAAACACACATGGGCAAATTAGAGTTTTCCTTTACCTTAGAAAACCTAGAAAACTACACAGCAAGACTCTGGTTGGCCTCCAGGTTCAAACCCAAAACCTTCTTGCTGTGAGACGACATTTACAGGTCAGGACCTTTCCGAGATGTCTCAGTAATTTCAGAGATGACGTCACACTTTGTCCTGCATTGTGTCTTTTGCCTTGACTGGTGTCTCTGCCTCACAGGTGTCAAGAGGTGACCATGCATTGCCTCTGAGGGTCTGTGATTGCTATTGAATCAAGTAGTCAATTTCCCACCCTGACACACAGCACGTAGCCTACACATGTTCAGTAATCAATACAACCTATGGATTCAGCTCAGAGCAAAACCCAGAGCAAACACCAGAGTGATAACCAGCAACCTGTCTGCAGGTGAAATTCAGAATTTGAGACTTTTGTTCGTGGGCACATCAGCAGCAGCAGCAGGCTGGTTCCAGGCTGGTTGTCGGCTGGTTGTCGGCTGTCTGGCGACAGATCCGAATCAGGGGTCCGTGTGTTTCTTTCACCCAGATAAACTGTGACCTTTACTGGAGTAGGGAGACCATGAAAGCAATCTGCTTGTGTAATTACCTGTCAGAAGGGACAGGTTTTCCCAGCCTGTTACTGCTGCGGAAAACACAGCATATCACCATCTAATCTACAAAGCACAGGTGCTAAGTGCAGCCTTGTGAAGGTGAGACATGCACAGAGACACATTATGTTTATGTGATAATTAATTCTCTATTAAAGAACTGGTATAGGTGGGTTTTGTGAGGAGGGTGCGGTGCATTACAAAGTGTTTCTGTGTTTTAAAGTTGCCTGATTGTGGCTTAGTTAAATCGCTCCGTGTGCTGTAGGTGTGCGTGCAGGGGGTGGAACGTGTGGCGCTGGTGCATGTGCCACAGTAATTGTTCTTTCCTTAAATAGCTGCTGTCATAGTTACTCCGTGCCTGTGGGCAGGTTGTTGGAATACATTGGCACCTGAAACCTTGAAAAAAAAAAAACTTCTCTAGAGACGGTGAGGATTTCAGGAGCATAAGAAATGTGTGGACGCATGTTATCGTCTTAACTCTGTTTGTGTTTGTGCTAATTCACACCTCACCTGTTTCTCATTCTCATCCTCGAGCCTCAGCCGCTCCTCGATGCAGTTGCGGGCTTGCAGGAAGACTTTCCTCTGGGCGCGCTCAGTGAGAATCCTCACAAACACCCCCGACAAGTTGACGCTGGTGAACAGCACTGCGTTGGCCACCAGCTGCACACAAACAAGAACAAACATGCTGAACAGAGCTGGCGGCATCTACACATGCATGCAATCCAGAAGGATCACATGTTTCCATCCACATGTGTTCTTTGTGGCCGCAATCATCATACGTCCTGGTTAGATTAGACTCTGCAATCCTTGATTAATCCATAGGATGGATTGAGTGACAGACATCAAGGTCAGCACATGGATTACAACATGAATCGTAGGTGTGATTTTGACAACAAAAGCTGTACGGTGGAGTGGCCTTCAGACAAAGTGCATCATTGATTAAAGAGCAAAGAGTATTGATCCTGCTGGACACTTCATTTAGAGAATGAACGCTGTAGCCACTTTTGGTCGTCAGTTGTAGACAGGTCAGAGGTGAAAGGTCGGAGAAACACTCTAATCTAATCCAGCTCAGACAGATGGAGGATATATTTTCTTTGTATCCTGATCGGGCAAAACAACAAGCAGAAGCTCATAATGTAACAAGTGTTCCCGATTGTGAGACAGATTGTTAGTTAAGGAAACAGTAAAACATATTCCTGCAAAACCAAGCTTTAAATTCGTTTTCAAATTTGCCAAATTTCTTTTCCTAGAAATCTGGTCTTCCCCTTCGCTTCTCCAGAATAGCAGTTCCGTTCTAACTACAAAGCCTAAAGTTGAAACATGAACTTTGATTCCATTTTCTAAGGTAACATTCTGAGAGTTACATTGCAGAAGGTTTAATATTTGTTAAATTTAATTTCAGAATATTCTGTGTATTTTGCACAAATGTGACGTAGATAACTTTAGACGTGAACTGAATGGATTAGCCAGAGCCAAACAATCATGTTAGCAATTTGGCAAAGTTTCACGCTTGAATGTCCCGAAATGTATTTTTTGAAACTTGATAAACAGTGGCTGCTCTTTAACTGATAAAACAAGAAAGCCTGTGACATTCATTCTCTTATTTGTCTTTTCAAGTCATACAACAATGATGGAAATCATCACTTCCATTCTGGGTTAGTAGCATACAGCTGTTTAAAATTCTTTATATACAGTAAGTTGCTATTTGTTCAAAATGCACTGGTATCGGAATGGTACTCGGAATCAGCTGATATGTAAAGTCCAAGTATTGGTATTGAGAAGGGAAAGTGTCTAGTCTGTAGAGTGTCATTTCAAACTGCACAGTAAAACTTGACAAGTTGATTTTAATTTTGTTTTAAAAACTGATTGTCTTGAAAAATGTGAGTGAATTCAAAGACAACAATTCAAGAAGTGATCTTTGCAAGGGGATGTGCACCTAAAAGTGTGGGAACAACCTTCTAATGAAGATTAAGTAAATAATATTTGGTGGTTTAAATTCATCCTGAACTATCAAACCAGAGTTTCCGCCTCTGTTTTCAGCACCGGCAGCTGGACAGCTCCTCCTCTGCTTCATTACAGCTGCTGCGTCAAAGTGAAAGTTTCCAGTTTTCAAACCTCCATCATGTCCTGAAGCTGGGAACCGATCCGCTGCTGTGTTCACCTCCTGCTCTCCAGGAAAAGTGAACGAGTGAGTGTGCTGCCTCTCAGCTCCACTTCTCATCAGAGTGGGAGATTCCACACGCTGGAGAAGTTGCTCAACGGTACCTGGGCTGCAGGTTGTTGAGTGACAGTTAGACTCTATGCCTGAGGGTGTAAGTTGGACATGTGGCTGCGCTCTAAGGTGATGGAGTTGGCTGAGTGGATGGAGACTTACCGGCCTCCACATCTTCTGTTTCCTCCCGGTGACCGACGTCGCTATGACAATGAAGTGGGACGCAGCCAGCATCACCCCGAACAGCACCGCCATCAGCGTCCGCACCGGCAGCAGCACGTAAGCCACGAGGGTGACCAGCATGAGCTGCCACACGCCTTGCTCAGGGGCAGCGGCGCTCACCGGCTCCGACGTGCTGAGCGCCAGCGGGAAGGGGCAGCAGAGCAGCGCAAAGGTGAAGCTGAACAGCAGCGCCAGCTTCGCGATCTGCTGCAGCTGCGTCACCTGCAGGTACTTGACGTTGGTGACGATGAAGAGCGACAGGAACACCACGCAGTGCACCGGGTAGGAGCCCTTGGACAAGGTGAGACGCGAGCTGGACAGCAGCTCCACCAGCGACAGCGACGACGCGGCCACGATGAGCACCGCCAGCGCCTTGAGGGTGGCGGTCTGCTCCAGCTTCAGGTTGTAGCCCTGGAACAGAGCCTCCAGCTCCGGGCTGTTGAACTCGTCCTCGCAGGCGATGGCGCCCAGGGGTGCACCGGCCGGGCAGTGACCCTTCCTCCGCCGGGTCTTGACTCTTTCCAATGGCATCTCCTCCATGTTCGGGCCATTCATGAAGCGGGAATAGGCGCACGACCCCCTCAACTTTTTGGCTCCTCTCCTCCGCGCGGGAATCTAACCGGCACCCTCTCCCGGTGCATGCGTCCTGGCTGTCCGAGGGGGTCGCGCTCGGCTCGGTGTGCGAGAGGGGGAGAGGGTGGCAGCGGGTGGTGGAGACGGCGGAGCAGCGCGCAGGGGATCTATCCACAGGTTGACGATTGTTGGTGTGTCGTCAGTAAAGTGGCCCGACCAATGTGCTGCTCTCCCTCCCTCCCTTTCTCTCTCTC